GATTGGGGAGTCGTCTGATTGTAACTCCTATTGTCAGGACTTGTTTGGATCAGCTATCCATTGTGATTTGTAGACAGCCTACAGGTCTGTTGAAGATTGCGGTGGCGTTCGAAGAATTGGGTCTGTCGAAGATTGGAATGACTGTGCGGTGGCGTTCGGAGACTGTGCGATGGCCAGCTGGGGTTGGGTCGGAGACGATGGTGGCGAAGGGGGAGGATTTGGGGTTTGGTCTGTCGAAGATTTGGGGATGAATGGGTTTGGTCTGTCGAAGAATTGGGGTTGGGTTTGTCGAAGGGAGAAGAAGGAGTTTTTGATTTTTTTTTTTTAATGGAGTGCGTTGTTTGATTTTAACCGTCTGTCGAAGATTTGAGTTGTGAAATTTTTTCTTGTTGATAATCAAACGTTGTGAAAATCATGCTGTTGGAAATATTGACGTTGTGGAATCATGTCGTTGGAAATATTGACGTTGTGGAAATATTGACGTTGTGAAAATCATGCTGTTGAAAAATTTACTGTTGTAAAAAATCATCTATAAATTCACAACTCACTACTCAAATCATTTCACACAACTCTCTTATAAAAAAAACTCTATATATCCCTATCAAATTACAAATCTCATGGATCCCTCACAAAACTATTATTCGCATCTCCTTACCGGTGAAGGATCGACCTTATACTCACCGTTCTATACAGAAGTCGGAGAAGAAGGTCATCCCATCGAGTTCTCGCAATCCGCAACACAACAAGTGTCATCCCAAGAAACACCGACCACAAAGAAGAAGAAGGCTTACACGTAGTCCGAAAATTGGACTGTCCACGAGGATAAGCTTCTTGTGTCTGCTTGGCTGAACACGAGCCAAGACATCATCCAAGGTACGGGGCAACACAAAGATAAGTTTTGGCACAGAGCTAACGACTACTTTATCCAATACTCCACCGATCCAACGAATCGCACACCAAACCAAAATGATGCACCGTTGGTCAACGATTCAACTATCTGTCAATAAGTTCTGCGGGTGCGTTGCTCAGATTGAATGAAGACAAAGATCTGGTACGGAAATTATTGACCAGGTAAATATTTAACTTATATGTTTTTATGTAAATATTTAACTTATATGTTTTTATGTAAATATTTAACTTATATGTTTAATTATTCTAAAATTAACTCTTGTGTAGACTGCAGAAGTAAAAGAATTATACTAATCCCTTTATGGTAAGCCATTCGTGTTTGACCATTGCTGGGTTGAGTTGCGTCATCACCAAAAGTGGATCCAACAAATGGAAACTTACAATAAGATTCGATCACAGCCGAGAAGAACCACGAACTCTGATTCCCCACCAAACAATTCCATGCCAGCGACCCCCATCGAGTTGAACATTGACTCGGATGATGTTATAGCAAGGACTGAAGGGAGGAAAGCGGCAAAACTCAAGAGGAAACAAAATGTGGACAAATCTGAGTCCGCTAAGTCCATTATGGGAGAGGCTTTCGCGTGGATGAAGCAAACCAACAAAGAAAAAATGGAGCTAAAACAGAAGAAACAAGATGACGATATCATGAAGATGGATCTCTCAACACTCAATTCAGTTCAATGACAATACTTTGAAATGCGTCAGGCAGAGATATTGGAGAGGTGGATGTCCAAGGGTTCTTCCTAATTATCATATATTGTACTCGCATCGCATCCTCATTAGTTCTTCCTAATTATCAAATATTATCTTGTATTAGATTTATGATTGTACTTGAAGTTGAAAATTTTGGCATTGAATGAAAACAACTACTTTATTAAAAATGAAATTGGCGTAGTACAACAACTTGAACTCCTTTTCTGAAATTACATTAGACATAAAGAACCTTAATCCAAGGCGATGGATCCCTTGAGCTGCCACAGATGCTTGATCAAATCATTTTTAGTGATTTGTGTGTTTGCGTGTTCCTGATCCGATGATGATTTTGGATGAACTCAGTTAGAGGCACCGTATGCACATGAGAAGGTTCAACGACTGGTACCGAATCAGTAAAGTCGAAGTTGTTGTCCAATTGACAATCACGTTCATCTTCAACGATCATGTTATGCATTATGATACAAGCTGTTATGATATCTTTCAGCACACAAGGTTGCCAGAAACGTCCACGAACAATCGCAAATCGAGCTTGCAACATGCCAAAAGCTCGCTCAACATCTTTTCTTGCGCTTTCTTGTTGAGCAAAGTACTTATGCTTGTTTCCTTGAGGTACTGGAATAGTCTTCACTAATGTGGACCACTCTGGGTAAATCCCATCGGCGAGATAGTATCCCATATTATACTCGTGGCCATTGACAGTATAGTTGCACGGTGAAGCTCTTCCCTCCGCAAGTTGTGCGAAAATCGGTGAACGATGTAGAACATTAAGGTCATTGTGAGACCCTGGCAGTCCAAAGAAGGCATGTCATATCCAAAGATCTTTGCTAGCTACGGCCTCCAAAATAATTGTAGGTTCATGAAAATGTCCAGTATACATACCTTGCCAGGCAGTTGGACAGTTCTTCTATGTCCAGTGCATGCAGTCGATGCTCCCAAGCATACCAGGAAAACCTCGTTGTGAGCCTTCCTCGAGCAGGCATGCAACGTCTTCATTAGTCGGTGCACGAAGGTGTTCCTCTCCAAAGATGTTGATAATCGATCGGACAAACCTCTTCACGCTCTCAAGCGACGTACTTTTACCAATCCGAACGTAGTCGTCAACGGAGTCAACGGATGCTCCATATGCGAGCATTCGCATAGCTGCAGTAATCTTTTGAAGACTAGATAGTCCTAACTGTCCAGCACCATTCCTCTTTTAGACGAAGTACTTGTCATGTTCGACGACTGCGTCGTGGATTCGAAGAAATAATGAACGTGTCATTCTGAACCTTTGACGAAAATAATAAAGAGGATAGGTTGGTGCGTCAGCAAAATAATCTTGGAACAACCGATTGTGGCCTTCCAGTCGGTTTCGATGGAGCACGATACGTCGTTTGTGTTGAACTGAAGTTGAACATTTCAACAACATCAGCTCCCATAAGAAAGAACGTCTTCATCATTTCATCATCGCTAGAGCTAGATGAGCTAGACATTTTATTCTGGGAGATGATGGGTTGAGGAGAGAAGCCATCGAATTTTATAGGAAATAGTCGGTTAACGGTCAAAGTTTGCGATACCTCGAACTTCGTACCCAACCTCGAAGACCGCGGGTTACCTCGAAGACCGTGTGTGTTCCCTCGAAAGCCGCGGGTTACCTCGAAGACCGTGTGCGCTCCCTCGTAGACCGTGGGTTGCCTCGAAGACCGTGTGCACTCCCTCGAAGGCCGTATCCAACGGTTAGAAATAAAATACAAGAGGTTTAAATATAATTAAAAGTAATGGGTAAAATATTAAAAGAAGGGGGTTTTTTTGATATTGTTGAAGCTCCTAACTAGGAGCTTGTTGGAGCTCCATAAAAAAAGGAGTGCCTCCCAAGGCTTAATTTGTTAATTTTTTATTCTAAAATGCTTGAGAGCTCTTGAGAGCATGCTGACTAGGACTCCCAACTGGGAGCTTGCTGCACTTGCTCTAAGGAACCAAACCCTGCCGTGTATTTCTGACCCACTATAATAGCAGCCTCGTCAGTAACTTTTCTCTTAAGGAGCTGTTTGGTTGGTTTCCTAAAAATCAAGAAAATGAAATCTCTGTATCTTTTTCATTAAAATATTATTTTTATCCATTTCCATCCCTAAAACTCACCCCAAGAAAAGAAAATCTATACACTTTTATCAATAAAATATTATTTTTATCCACTAACTCATCACATCTCATCTCCTTTCTTACTTTTAAAAATAAACCAAACACAAGAAATGAGTCACATCATCCAACTCATCTCATCTCATCTTTAAAAATCACTCACATCATCCAATAATATGGTGACAACTCATCTCATCTCATTAACATTTTATTTCCACACATTTCCTCAAAAAAATTAAGGAAATTGATTTCCTTAAGTGTGGGTACTTCATCCAATAATATAATGACAACTCATCTCATCTCATCTATTTTCTTATTTTTAAAAATGAATCAAACATAAGAAAAGAACCTATTATATAGGAAATATGTTTCTTATAATACATTTACTTATTTTTTTAGGGCCTGTTCGTTTGCCTTAAAAAAATGGGAAATCAAAGAAATAGAAAACTATTTCTAAGAAAAATGGGTTTTTGAATTGTTTGGTTGGCTAAAAAAAAGGAAATCAAAGAAATGGAGATGAGATGAGATGAGTTGTCACATTATTATTGGATGATGTGAGTGATTTTTTAAGAAAACTAGTTTTGATGTTGTTCGGTTGGCGAAAAAAAATAAGGAAATGAATTATAAGAAACCTATTTCATGTAGTTTTGTTATTTTCTTTTGTTTGGTTCATTCTTAAAAATAAGAAATGAAATGAGATGAGATGGGTTGTCATTGTATTATTGGGTGATGTGAAGAAAGATTAAGAAAAGTGTTTTCACAACTTTTTGGGATGAAAACAAAGAAATAAAATGTTAATGAGATGAGGTGAATTGTTATAATATTTTATTCGATGATGTGAGTGATTTGAAATGATGAAAAGAGATGAGTTGAATGATGTTTGGATGAAAATAATATTTTATTAGATGTGATGGATGAGTTGTTAGATGAAAATAATATTTTATTAGATGTGGTGGATGAGTTGTTAGATGAAAATAATATTTTATTAGATGATGTGGATGAGTTGTTGGATGAAAATAATATTTTATTGAATGTTGTGTGTGAGTTTTAGGGATGGAAATGGAAGAAATTGATTATTTTGAGATTTCCACCTTTTCCATTTCCATTTCTTGGTTTTTAGGAAATAAACGAACAGGCCCTTAACCAACCAAACATCCATAAAACAAATTTTCTTAAAAAATCACATACATCATTAAATAATATGGTGATAACTCATCTCTTTCTCATCTCCGATTCTTTGATTTCATTCTTTTTTTAGACAACCAAATAACCATAATACAAGTTTTCCTATTCTTTGATTTCCCATTTTTTTAGGCAAACAAACAGCCCCTTAATCCGAACCTCAGACATAAAAACAACATATATTCTGGTATTTACAAATTTTTTTCACATTGGACCTTCTCTTTCTTGTAATTTTTTAAGGATAATACTAAATGTACTACACTTTTTTAAGCAACTCTTCACTACAAAAAAATAAGTGTATCAATTTTTTTTTAAAATGTAATATATTGTTTCTACTCCAATGTGGAATTAGTTTAAGTGGAGTACTGTTTTTATCCCAAGGATTTTCATAATTCTTTAGAACAAACAAGCCAGATAATAGTTAATGGCGCTTTGGGGCTATTTGTTTGCGAGGATATTTAAAGTTCCTCTAAATTTTTGTTATAATAAATCTGTGTGCTTTCTACTAGTGAAAAGGGTTGTTCTACAGGGACCCAAATCCATGGGACCAGGAGGGGACAGGTGAGGTGTCACCTCCTGGTTGCAAGATCTACTGTTCATGAATAATAGATCATGCAATCAGGAGGTGACACCTCACATGTCCCCTCCTGGTCCCATGGATTTGGGGTCCTCATGGAATTTTTCCAATAATAGCTTATGTAGACGAGAGATCTACATAATTTCACATTTTATCGATTAAACAAAAAAACTTATGGTCTCCTTTATACAATATCGTAAAGGGTGGGGGGAAAAGTCGATTAATATCACATGATACTGATTCAAGAAAATTGCGATCAAATTCTCTCAAGACGCCTCACACGCAACCGCAAGCGGCACATTCTAAGCTCGCATTCAAGCAGAACATTCTAAGCTCATAGTGGCTATAAATTAACAATGAATTTACTCAACTTACCGCATTCAAGTTTACAGATTATGTGAAATAAAATAATGTTATCAAATTACAATTTTGTATTTAATCGCAACCGTACAGAAATTTAACATCCATTTTCGCTTTTCTTAAGCGATCGCTGTTACATCCATTTTGAAAAATTTTATCATCGGATTCAAAGCACCGGTCGGACACAGAAAAGCCCGACGTCTGAGCTTGCGGCTTAATTCTGCATTCTTTCACTTTCACCCTCCAAGAGAAGGATTTTGAGGACTCGCAACATAAACAAAAGTTTAGAAGCACTCGCAACATAAACAAAAGTTTAGAACGGCAACTATCTGTACTCTACATAAATTAAACGTAATAATCATGTTTGGGAGTTTAGTAAAAAGAATGAAGAGATTATTTATCAGCCGTTGGATTTGTATCATGATGGTCCAAAACAATTTACTTCCTCTACGCTCCATTATCTTCTTCTCTCCAATCTTGGGGGAACCAAGATATATATAATGGAGAGATTAAGGGATGTAAACTTTGTTACTTTATTTTCCCTCCATTCCCTTTTAAAAAAATCCCCAAAAATGGCAAATTCATTTAACTTCCTTCCTCTACCCCTTATTCTCTTCCATCCAAACTAAACATTTTTAGACAACTAAATTTATACATGACTAAGCTTAAGTCATAAAATAAAGGAATAATAAATAGCATATCTAACCAACACCATAAATAAATAATGAACAGTTAGGTTGAAATAGACTAGAGAGGTGATATAGCGTACTGGAATGAAGTGATACCTCTACACAAACACACAAAAAAGGCAAAAAAAAAAAAGGGGGGGGGGGGGGGGGG